AACAAGCACAAGCGAGTCGATTCAACTGTAGCAACCCAAACTTCACTGAAGACGAACCCAGATGCAAGAGGTGGCTTACTCATCTGTAAAGACAAAAACTTTCAGGAGGAGCTGAGAAGCAAATGTGGTACCCTTGCTTCTTTCAAATAATTTTGTTCCTGGCAAAGGTTTTCAAGGTCCAAAAAGGCTTATGTAACGTTTTTATGGTCAAAAAGGACTTTGATATTACTTGTGCTTGTTATGTCTAATAAATCAACAATATGTTTTTCAGCTTCTACATCTTCAATTTATGTGAAAACTACATCCTCAATTTATGTGACAAAATTGAAAACATCAATTGAAAAAAAAATCATATCATGGTCAATTTCAATCACACATCAACGAGTCCTTGAATTTAGATTTCCATTAGTCAGGCGCGTAGCGTGGACTTAATTTTATGCGCATGTCAGGGACCGCGACATATGTTTTGGATCTGGGGGTCTTACAAACGCCAAAGGCGGGAGTATTAAGGGGGTCTAGTCCTTCCCCAGAAACATTTGGAAAAAAAATTCAAAATTTAAAAGAAATAACTCTTGGAAATGCGATTTCCAGCATTTTGAGAAACAATTTTACTTTGAGCTCCCCTATCTTGCCATCAATTTTATGTAATGCCCCCCCTCTGGTTTTACACCCCCACCCTTCTTGGTAATTATTGCACAGTCCCTAAGCCTACAAGTCATGTATAAAATTTTAGGCAGTTTGATTTGCAACCCTTTCCTTACGGATAAAAACGCAAAAAGTCAGATTGATTTACCCATGATGCAACAGATAAATGATATATGATAGATTTCAGAATGTTGAAAATGACTGCATGTAGCGACGAAATATTCAAAGGTCAATGGTAAATAATAACTGTTTGTCTTGAAATTCAAAAGACGTTTATGTTATTCACAATAGGAAAATTACAATTGCTCCACTTACAAGGGATGATTACGATGAATAGGTGAGATAAAGCCAGTTTGGGACACCCAAGAGCACTTAAATAATATTAAAAAAATTAAATAATATTTTTTCGTGATTTACAATATATCTCTTTAACCCACTACCAATGCAACAATTACATTGTTAACGAGAAGGACAAAAGTGCTAGAAGACGCAAACAATCCTTTGTCATTACTCGAATGATCCGGTGAATTGCCTCGAGATTACGTCAGAATTAATATTTAATTGAAGATCCACTCGCATTCTTATATATGAGAACGAGGAATAAGAACTCTAGCACTTTAGCAGGTGCGTAGCGTCCTTTACGCATATACGCACATGCGTACTAGTGACAAGGAAATATTGAGATTTACAAAAAAGTTACTGAAACTTTCACATAAAATTGATCCCTTTGAATTATATGCCCTCGATGCCTCTCAAGACGCTACAAATCGCATTTCCAAGAGTTATTATTTCAAAACTTCCTGGAGGAGGTCCAGGCTCCCTTAATACTTCCGCCTTTGGCTTTAGGTAACCCTCCAGATCCAAAATATGTGTCACGGTCCCTGACATTTGCGTACTAGCCAAAACGTCRACGCTACGCGCCTGTTTAGGAAATGATTAAAACACGAAAGAATTAAGCATTCATCTTCAGTGTGTTTTTTTATTTTTCTTATATATTTCTGTGGTTCTAAATCTTGGAATTTCAAGAAAAAGTTCATTTCATTCGTCTGAAAAAGTTAATGAGTTAGCTAAAAATGCAGGGATTACCACAGAATTATGAAACTGGTCCTGCAATAAAGTAAACACATATCTAAAAATATTTGCGAGCAAAGACATTTACGCCTATAAATTAGAAAACTCCTACAAATCACTTCCTACAAATTAAAGCTGCTCCTGTGATATTAATAAGATCTATAGACTAGTGTATCGTTAATAATCCATGAGGCATTTTTTCAATCAAGGTTGTCGATAAGCGTCGCATGATGCAATCTTTAATTAACGATTCAAAATTAATGATTGATGATGATAAACAAATCCATTCTGGCCCTACAAGTCTTTTACTTTCTCATTTTAATCTATGCAGAAAGTTAAAAGAGCTTAAAAGTTGAACTTAACTTAACTAGCATCCATAAAGTTCCATTCTAAGTACCATGTAGCTCTTGTATGTCTTTGGTAGAAGTCTGATATACCTGGYAATTATAGCAGGATCAAGCTTATTTTTTACAACTGTTGTTTGATCCGAATTTCCAGGTAAAGTTTTTCCCCCTTCATAGTCTTTGAAGCTAGTTCCATCGTCGCTGTACTGAAGACTGTACGTTTTAACCCAGTAAGAAGAGGTGTGACAGCCTTGTGTCGCAATAGCTGTAATTCTGGTAACTTTGCTCAAGTCAACTTGTATCCACTGTCCTATTCTATTTGTTTTAGGGCTCCATCCACCCCTACCAAGGAATGCATTCAGTCTAGCATAAGATTTCCGCCACGCGGAACCATCACTCGACGAAGCGGTTATTTTTGAATCTGGAATCGCTTTACTTTGCATACCAAGTGCATAGCCATCTTTACACGCTGTGTCAAGTTAATTATTCAAAAATAAGCTACAATAAATATCCTACGAAATTTACTCAGTGCTATCATTTCATAAGATATAGTTAGGGAATRAAATATGGAAACATGAAATACGTCATAACTTCAATAATTCATAATATATAATTTTCTAAGTCATCATTATCATCAAGACACCAATCACTTATCTTACCGAAGCTCAATGACGTGTAAACAGTCTTTCTACCCAACAAATTCACAGCCATACATTGATAAGACCCACTGTCACTTAACTCGAATTTTCTGATTGTAAGTTTCCCGCCATTTTGTTGACTCCGTTTTGATGGTAGAGAACCATGAACTTTTGACCACGTGATTATTGGTGGTGGATAACCCGATGCAGTGCATATCAAATTGACAGTGCTCCCTTGAAAAACGGTTTGGAATGACTCTGGTACTTTGGTGAACCTCGGTGGAACTATCAAACATAAGTATGCTATTAAAAATATGCCGAAACATGAGTCAACAAGTGTCTCAAATTACTAGTGAAATTTAATCAACACTAACCACGTTGTTCATCAACCAAGGAACAAGTACTCAATATAGCAAATCGCGAAAATAGCAGCTCTGAACAATAAAAAGTTGTATTCGGAATGCGATGATCAGCAAGACTGAGATTTGTTTTACTCACAGCTGACAAGAAGTGATACTGTGTTTGCATCCTCTCCGAGAACACTCTTTGCAGAGCACGTATAGTTTCCTGTATCGTTTTCATCCACATTCGAGATTTCAAGCAATCCTGATTTATCCATTCTGGTTTTACCAAAAACAATCTGTTTTCCAGATTCCTTTTTCCATGTTATCTTTGGTTTAGGATTACCGTAAGCATTGCAATGGAACGTAGCTGTCTGGTTCTGAGTAACTGTCAGTGTTGATGGTGAAATAAGTACTGAAGGCTCCGAAACCACTTCTCCTCGTTCACCTTTCGGTCCCGGGAGTCCTGGCGAACCTGGATTGCCGATATCGCCCTTTTGACCTTTTAATCCAGGAGGTCCTTGCAATCCTTGTTTACCATATTTTCCAGGAAGGCCTTTTGTTCCCTTAGGACCTAGTCCACCTCTTCTTCCCCNGCCAAGATTGGAATTTTTCTGAACGACATAAACAAAGATGAAATCACATAAGACCGTTTTTAATTCATCTATATTGTGTTCTGGTTCATTGATACTATTGATAATAGCCACTATTTGAATTGTAAGTATTTAGTTTGATTTTATTTCATGGTTTACCTGCATTTGCTCTACTGCATTGATGAAAAGTTTAAAACATGGTTCATGGTCTAATTTGATAATTTTAAAGAAGTTCTTTGTTAAACATAATTCTGTTCAATAACTATACTTTGTTCTTTACTTGACAAATATTACAGTGCTTTTCATGAACATGAAATCTCCCACTTGAATACCACAAATTACAGTTATGCAAGAGCCAGGGGACAATGACAAATGAGCCATAAAACTTTTGGCTGTGCATGTCAACACTACTGAGATCAGCAAATACTGACTAAATGATTATTTACAGTGAAATCAAAATGATCCAGTGTCACCTAATGCACAAGGAAGCTCATGTGAGCGCTCACTGAGCGTCTAGTTTTGAATGGACGATCTTCATACGACATACGAGTAGTGGAATTTCTTTGATAACTATAAGTGTTACTTTTGCGTACAAATATCATTTCCCCAGTGGGGGGATTTGGAAAGTGCAAGACACAACCGCAGGTTTTATAATTCGCAACCATAAAGTTCCATTCTTAGTACCATGTGATTATGGTATGTCTTTGGAAGAAGTCTGATATACCTGGCAGTTATGTCAGGGTCAAGGCTATTTTTTACAACTGTTGATTGATCCAAATTTCCAGGTAAAGTCTTTCCCCCTTCATAGTCTTTGAAGTTAGTTCCATCGTCGCTGTGCTTCAGACTGTACGTTTTAACCCAGTGGGAATTACTTTGACAGCCTTGTGTTGCAATGGCTATAACTCTGGTTACTTTGCTCAAGTCAACTTGTATCCATTCTCCTAGTGTATTAGATTTAGCTGCCCATCCACCACTTCCAAGGGCTGCATTCAGTCTAGCATAATATGGGAGCCAGCTTAAACCAGCATTCGACGAAGCGGTAATTTTTGAGTCTGGAATGGCTTTACTTTGCATACCAAGTGCATCGCCATCTTTACATCTTTCTGTGTAAAGTTAATTATTCAAAAGTGAGATAAATCGTTACATCTTTCTGTGTTTTAAAAGTGAATTGAATCATTCAAAAATTAGCAACAATGTCCTACGAAAATTACTCAGTGCTATCATCAATTCCCAAGATATTTAAAAAAAGCGAAAACATGGAATACGTCATAACTTCCTGTACTATTTTCTAATTTATCATTATAATCAAGACACCAACGACTTACCGAAGCTCAATGACGTGTAAACAGTCTTTCTACCCAACGAATTCACAGCTACACATTGATAAGACCCGCTGTCACTTAACTCGAATTTTCTGATTGTAAGTTTCCCGCCATTTTGTTGACTTCGTTTTGAAGGTAGAGATCCGTGAAGTCTTGACCACGCTATTATGGGTGGTGGATATCCCGAAGCACGGCATAACAGATCCAAAGTGCTGCCTTGGCGAACGGTTTGGAATGACTGTGGTACCTTGGTAAACCTTGGTGGAACTATCGAACACAAGCACACTATGGAAAATATGCCTCAAAATGTGCATCGACAAGTATCTGAAATTATTTCAAATTCAACCAACTAACCAACTTGCCCATCAACACAAACACTAAATATAATAGACCTCACGCGTTGCCATGTACGCTAACACTCAATTCAAATCCTGTGGGAAAAATAACTTTTGTTTCTAAAGGCTGATTTACACGGTACGATTTGTCGCGCGCGACTTGTAGTATACGATTTTCCAACTACAAGTCGTAGGATTTTAAGCAGTGGTTCAAAATCCTACTACAAGTCGTAGGTTGCGTACAACTGTTGTAGACAAGTCGTAGGGGCATTTACACTGCGCGATTCAAGTCGTATACTACAAATCGCACGAGACAATCGTGCCGTGTAAATCAGCCTTAAGAATTCAACAGTGAAATGAAAATACAACGAACAATGAAACTTACTCTCTGATGGTTTGAATTGGGTGGAAATGTACGTTTATAAGATAAATGCGTGTGCTGGTTAGATCAATTCAAATCGATATCCATGGGAATGCGATAAGCAAGACTAAGATTTGTTTTACTTACATCTGACAAGAAGTGACACTCTTTTCGCATCCTCTCCGAGAACACTCTTTGCAGAACACGTGTAGTTTCCTGTATCGTTTTCACTAGCACTCGTGATTTCAAG